CTGCTAACAGGAACTTTATTTCTGTCAGATGACATTCGCCTCTATTTGCTGCTGATCATTTAAATGGCTGCCTAAAAAGAGGGATGTCAAATCTGCCCCTCTCTTTCTGTTCACTTTGGCTATCTTTTCATCTATTTAATTGGCCCATCTTTTTTTTTTTTGGTGCTATAAAGGCTTATTGCAATCTCCGAATATGCCTGAACTAATTTGTTTAAAAAAAACTACAACAACTTTAAGTTACACTAATTCAGCAAAAACTATTCTTTTGCACAAAAAGTTAAATTATGCGCCTTAGCCTAATTTTTGCAAGATCCAGTGCCCGATGTAGATCTGTTCTGCAGGTTTTAACTAAAGAAAAGACGGTTCTTCTCTATGAAAATTGACTGCAATGGTTCCTAAAATCTATTAACCCTTCAAATAATTCACAGTGGACTCTCAAGGCTCCCAGACTGGAGCGGGTTCTGGAGTGGACTCTGAGGGCACCTGGACTGGAGCTGGCTCTGTAGTGGACTCTTAGGGCTTCTGGACTGGAGCGGGTTCTCCTGGGCCAACAAGGCAGGAAGCTTAAGTGGGGCCAGCAAAGTAGAGAGCTTAGGTGGGGCCGGAAGGGCAAGGATCATGGGTGGAGCCGGCAGGGCCAAGATCATGGCTGGAGCTGGCAGGGCCAGGATCATGGGTGAGACAAGGAGAGCGGGCTGCTCAGTAATCTCTGGGACCACCAGAGTCAGGTCTTCCTGGACCACCAGACTAGGGACCACCAGAGTGGTTCCTCCAGGACCACCGGACTTGGGACTACAGGAGTCAGGACCACGGGACTTGGAACCACAGGAGTCGGGTCCTCCAGGACCACCAGACTTGGGACCACCAGAGTCGGGTCCTCCATGACCACCAGACTTGGGATCACCAACCGTGGCAACAGAGTAAGAGTTCTCCTCCTCCTCCGAGAACGAGTCGACCCGGCAGAAATAGGCACAGGCTGGGAGGTGGGAAGAACAGGGAGAGGAAGCCACTCCTCCTGCAGCAGTTGCCTCTCCATTCACTGGCAACAGTAGTCGACCACCTCCCAATAAGTCCAGGTTTCTAAATCACCCAGCTACTCCCAATCAAAAGGGTCATCCAGTCCAGACAGGAAGCAGTGGATGATGGTAATTTAAATTATTAGTAGCCTCAGGTTTGACAAGTTTCAAAGAGGCTTCCCCAGGCTTCCCCCATTGTTTACACTGAACACTTCTCAAGTTATTGAAAACATGAGTGGAGACTATTTGCCTGACAAAGTTTTCCCTCCTTTTGTCCTCTGTTTGTCCTTGCTTTCTTCACTTCCATGCCTCGATTCTTTATGCTTCCTTTGTTCTTGTTCATTTCATCACTCTGGCATCCATGAAACAGTATGGCAAACCAACAACACCAAAACGATTTTGCACTCTCATTCTCTATATCCCTCTGTCCTCTCTCTCACTCTGAATGGCAGGTGCCTTTTTGCCCCTTTCTCCTTTTTAATTAACAAATTATCCCATGACGAACAGGTTCATTCAGTTGATACACACGAACATCTCTCTCTCTTTCTTTTTCTTTTTCTCTCTCTCCCTCGCATGGTTCAGGCAGCAACAATAGAATCAGAGGAATTTGTGGTCCACCTGCCTAGCAAATTATGTGAGTTGAGGAGGAGGGAAGCCCCCTTCCCTTTGCTCCTACCAAAGAGGACCAATCAGGCCATTGTGGTGGCACAGTCGGTTCCTTTGAGCTGTCAGGCTGGGGGAGCCGGTCCACAGATGAATGCTTTGCAGGCCTACGCCAGTCTTTAGCTAACCATGTGGGAATGCTCCCCACCAAGCCTGGACAATTACAGACTACAACTAAACTTTTACATAAACTTTTACGCTGTGTGGTGAGAGAAAGTGGAAAGGAATAAAAGTATTAAGATAAAGGGGAAGGAAATGGGAAAAGAGATACTTTCATGCATTTTAAGTTCATGTATTAAGTATTCTTGTACCCCAATAGGTAAAGCATAACTCACAGCACCAAGGTCATAGCTTTGATTTCACCACATACATGGATGTCTCTTTCACATACTGGCACGTGCATTTATCAAAATAATCTGATAAAAAGATTTGTAAAAAAAAAAAATTAATTATGCAAATATATAAAAAACTATTTATATTTAATTATTTATAGATATAAATTATAAAGAATAAACCATTGTTATATATAATATAATTATTTATAAATAAACACATAATAATAACAATAATAATAAAACTGTTATGCATAATCAAATAATAGTAATAATTATTTTATTATTCAGTATTTCCTTTGTTGATTCTAAATTAATATAATGTATGCAATGTGTAAATATGTTAATAATTAATATATAAATTATTTGTGAAAAAAAGGATTATGTATGATTAGTTATATTTTTTAATCTATTTACATCCCTATAAAAAAATTCTAAACTACAAATCTTTCATTAATTAAAAATATCTCAGTGATCTTTTCTCTCTTAAAATTAAACTTGGATTTCTTTACTCCCTACAAGCTACTCTTTCTCAAAATCAATCAAGATTGTATTTCATTCTTTTTCTAAACTCCAACTCCACATTCTCACTGTACTATTTGGGGTTTCCCCTTCTGCAGATCCTCCGGACATGCCTGGACTGATCTAGGATCAGTTTAAGCATTTAGCCAATCCCGGGTCTGTAAAAGAGGCGGGACAGTTGGCTGCTACCACCGTAGGGCCTTTCACAATTGCCTTTTGTTAGTCTTGAGGGGGCTGCCCGGGCGACATGGGTTAAAGTTGACTGGGGTTTAGGTTACATCAGATAAGAGGTTATGAGTATTGGAAGACCAAGAGAATGCAGGGGAATTATAACCACACCAGAAATGTGTAAGCTATCTAATGGCTGTGGTAAGACCCTTCGGGGAGCAGGTCTAGGGTCTTTTGTGATAGATGGCTCATTATGGTTCTGTTGAGAGCTTGTGGTCAGGACAGCTTACTGGAATCAGAGCTTATGAAAATGATAATATATATACATATTCAGATCAATGCTGCGCTGTGCTTTAGCATAGGTTAAGTTCGTTTAGCTTCAGTCATGTTTCATTACGCAGCGCTCTGTTTTTTAGAATGACAAAAAGCTTTTAAAGTTACATTCACAACCTGATTTGCTTCAGTGGTCTAACAGTGCTAGTCAATGTCAAAATAATTGAGCTGGCCAATCAAATCAAATTAGGTGGGGTTTACTGTTCACAGAAGCAGAGCGTGAATTCCAGAAAATGCAAATCATTTTATGATAGAAATGTTGAATGACTGACAGCTATATCCAGTGACGCAAACTACTTGACTTTTTTCTCAGTCATGGCCATTTTGAGAGACAGAGAGAGAGAATGACAGTTGTGTGTATGAATAACAATGAAGCTGAGCTGAGGTTAGTTACTTCAAAAACAGCATTTTTTACCCCTTCATTGTTGAGAAATATAATGAAGCGATTCAGTATCGAAGCTGTTTTATTAATAAAAGTCGTGGGGCAGCGTTGAAAACAAGTTTCTGTGCTTCTGGATGTTTTTGTGTGTGCGTGTGTGTGTGTGTGTGTGTGTGTGTGTAGCGCGATCTCCAATCTCTGTGTGCAGTGTCAATTAAAGCAGTGTGTTAATATAGAACAGTGATTAAACTGAACGGTTTTAATGCACAGTTGGCCCTGTCACACACACATACAGTGGTGTTCAGTAGGGTCACACTGTAAATCTGTTATTCAAAATCTAATTTAAACATTAAAATAAAGAATATTTCAGGATTTTGCAAAGTTTAAAAAACAATGTATGGAAAAAATGCATTCATTTAAAAGTGAGCCCCTGGGTCTCTAACCCTGAGTGTGGGACTGAATCCTGGCTAGATGAGCACTGCAGCAAACTTTCCAAGACAAACCTTATGTTGTTCAGAGGAGTAATTACCCTCGCATTACAGAGAAAAATTCACAATCAGTAAGCCAAATTACATCCATACTTTTTCCACAACAGTAAAGCTCTATCCCCCATCTATGTTCATTCCCTCCAAACCCCAAGCCCCCCACCTCTAATTAATGAAGGAGAGCTTGCCATATGGGAATGACTAACAGTGAGAGAGAGAGAAAGCGAGAGGGGGTGGGGGGTGGGGGGGGGATGTTGAGACAGAACTCATAACAACAATTAACGATGCCCTGTTCCACAAAAAAAGGACATTCTTTTTCTGACTTCCTGCCATATCACCAGAGGCTTTCATATGGAGTGGTACAACAAAATAAGATCACTAATCAACCAAGACAAACACCCACACAATATTTGTGTGGAGAAAAATTTTGTTTCAACACTAATGCTAATGCCATTTTAAGGTGTATGAGATTTTCAGTGAATCCAAGTTTTTGGTTGATAGATTCTAGTAGGCCCAAGCTAGTCAGATCTGGTCAGAGCTGGTCTAGATGCACAATCAACTAGACTACAAGGTGGTAGGCCTGGTTTTGACCTGGTAGACCCTCTTGGTCAAGCTGGTTAAAGTTGGTAGACTACTTCAATCTAGTGATAACAACCCAGGCTTGTTGAACAAGAAAAAGTGCAACATTTCTGTAAAATAATATTATGATGCTGCTTGAAAGTTTTGAGGCCCTTTAAAGTTAAATTGTGAATCGCTAGTTAGTAAAAGTGCACTTAGTTATATCTGAAATGAATGTGAATTAATTTTATCTGAATGAATTTGCAAATAACAGAAAAGCAAAAATAATTACTTGTTTTCAAACAGGTTTCCCACACACTGCTACTGGTCAGCCAAACAGATATCCCACCCCCAACTTACATCATTGATTCAGCTTTTCCTGTGTCAAGTTGGTCGAGATTCTCAACAAAACAGAGCAATGTTTTATAAAATTGACAAAAATTACTCTTTTAAACAATTTAAACACACAGAATCAATAGAGAATAGAAATTAAAGCTTGACAAGTAATCAGAAGAAAAGAGAGGTTTAAATGTTGAAGTTGTACCATTGGAAGTAGTGCTGGAGGCCACAGCCTTTTCACTGATTTCTGCACGGGTGGGCGCGCTCTTGGTGGCTACAATGGTCTCCACTCTCTTCTTCTTCTCTGCTGCAGAACTGGTCTGGGACTGGGTTTCCATGACAACTGTGCATTCCTCAGTACCTCATCAAGACAGGATACCTGAGGGGTCACGTAAGGAAGAGGTCAGTGGTGGGAGATTAAAAAAAATTACAAAAATAAACATCATTAACAAATAAAACACAATTAAAAACAATCAGTTAATCAGTCCATACACTAAACATGACTGTGTTTTTCTGTCATAAAGAAACCTAATTTTCTATTTAACAATATATCAAAATAACAATTACTTACTTTATAAATATTTTAAGATTAAATAAAAAACACAAATTTCCCTTAAATGTTAAAAATTCAGCTATAATTATTAGAAATGTGTAGTCTATCTAAAAAATGTTTTCTAATTTACAAGAGTACGTAACAAAATGAATATGGAGGTAGCTGCTTGGGATTTACAACACAGCTATTCAAGTTTGGTGTGCTTGAATGGGAAGTAACGATGCTGAATGAGGAGGGGGTATATACAAAAACAGTTAACTTTGTTTGCTTAGGGATTTTTCTCAACAGTCACTTGAGTGTGTGTTGACACAATCTAATAAAAATCCTGGATTAATATATATTGGGTAAATTACTCTAAAAAAGTAATTAGATTACTATACAAATTACTGTTTCCAAAAAGTATTTAATTACTTATTACTAATTACTTTCTAAATCCTATATCAAAGTTAATGAATGATACAAGGACAGACATGAAATGGCTCTTTTAATTCTTTCAAATAAATAATAGATAACTACCTAAATTTTTCTGGTCACACTTTAGGTTAGGGTCCAATTCTCACTGTTAACTAACTATTTACTATAAACTAACTATACTTTTGCCTCAATATACTCCTAATTACTGCTTATTGATACTTAATAAAGTAGTTGTTGACAAATAGGGGTCCTATTATGCTTTTTCACTTTTTGAATTTTAGTCAGTGTGTAGTGTGTATGTTTGGGCATAAAAAAGATCTTCAAACTTACAAATCTCAAAGTCCACACCAAAGGGAGATATTTCGTTTTTTAAAAATCCCTTTTCAAGAACTACAACGAATGACTCGTTTGGACTACAGTGTTTGGACCCTTCCTTCCCATTAGAATATCATTAAAATAATTCCCGCCTATGGAAATTCTAATGGTTGGGGGGTGGGGAGGGGAGAGGTTGTGCACTGTAAAATCCAATAGTTTACCTTACTTAGATTTAATTAGTTATCTTTACTTAGTTGTTATACTTACTAGGTTTTATTAAGTTACAGCTACTTTCAAGGCAAATAAAACAATTTACTTACTGTTGTGAGTGACACTTACTTAAAATATTCAAGTAGCCACAAAGGAACCAATTACATTAATAAAGCAGTGAGAGGCAGCAGTGCACTAATATGTTGCTAATGTGCAACATAACAACAGAAGAAGAAGATGAAAAGAAAAAGAGTCTTCATAGACTTTTCACCTATTTCCTCCATGTCTGCAGTTATCTTTCACTAGTTGCATTCACTCGTTTCCCAAAGTCATCTTGAATGTTGAATTTTCAATACAACTGAAATATTTGAGAGAACATACTACTATACTATACTAAGTCAAGAGTAAACCTCAATGAAAGGATCAAGCACCCCCTACAGTTCTTTTTTAGTTACTATAACTCTCGTGTTAGTAAACTATACTAACTAAGCATTTGTCAGTACAACATACTATTCCTATTTCACTTTACTTAGTTTTTTTCAAGGCAATCGGTTTGCATGCTTTTTTTAAGTAAGCCCAACTAATTAGATTTTACAGTGTGGTTAGAAC